TTCCACTGTGCAACTTTCTGTTAACTGGAGGCACTTTACAGAATTACGACTTTGCCTCATTTTTCATATCAGAAGATCTATTGTGATTTATTTCAGGATCACTCTCTAGAGTCTGCTGAGAATGTCTGATATGTGACATCTCCTTAAATGTGATATTCTGATATATTTCACCTCCTAATGTTTAAATCATAACCAAAATAGCACTTGTAGGTTTCAAAGCTATAGTGATTAAGCATTTAACAATTACCTTCTAGGAATCTCTTCCTTCACCTTCACACCCCAGTTCCTCCAAACTAATCACACAAGGGAATCTCTTCTTTTTTTAATTTTTATTTTTAGTGGGACTGGGGTTTGAACTGAGGTCTTTGCACCTGCAAAGCAAACTCCACTCCATTTTGCTGTGGTTATTTTGGAGATGGGGGTCTCATGAACTGTTTGCCCAGGCTGGCCTTGAACCATGATCCTCCATATCTCACCCTCCCAAGTAGCTAGGATTACAGGTGTGAGCCACTGGTCCCTAGCAAATTTTCTCCTTTTTTTTTTTTTCTTAGCTTCTAGAACTCAGAAATAAGTTGAAAGACAATACTACTTCTGTTACAAAGATTATTTGTTAAGACCCTCTCTCAAAAAAAAAAAGCTGTAATGATTTAAACAAGTAAAACTAGTTTCCATTGATTTTTGTAGGACTTGCAATTTAACTATTTAATTAAATTTAACATATTCAAATTATTCTTGCTACAAAATAGTACAAGTACTCATTCTTCTTTTTAGGATGTACATGCTTTGATTTATTAAATAAACTTTAATAATTTTTTGTTAAACTTTAACAAATCTACTTGTTGAAATTGTTAGTTGTGATAATGGCATTACAATTACACACACACACACAAATAGGTTGTGTTTCTACACATTCTAAAGAAATGATGAATTCTCATGATGTCTAGCATTTGCCTTAAAATATTCCAACCAAAAATAAGGCAGGATAGATGAAAATAATATTGGCAAGATACTGATGACTGTTTAAACTAGATGTAGGTAAATAGAGGTTTATAAGACAGTTTATTTTTCTGTATGTTTGAAATTTTTCCATTTTAAAACACTTAAAAATTCCATTTTGAAGTTAAGTATAATCCCAGCTACTTGGAAGGTTGAGATTGGGAGGATCACAGTTCAAAGCCACCCCAGCTGCCTTCCCCCCCCCCAAAAAAAGTTCTCAAGATTCCATTTCAATGGATGAAAGGTGGGCATGGTAGCATATACCTGTCATCCCAGCAATGGCAAGAAGCTTAAAATAGAAGGATGGTGGTCCAAGCCATCCTGGCAAAAAGTAATAGCCTCTCTCCAAAATAATGAGAGCAAAAGAGGCTAGGGGTATTGTTCAAGTGGTAGAGCAGCTGCCTAACAAGTGTGAAGCCTTGAGTTTAAAAAAAAAAAATTCCATACTGTCGGGTCTATTGTTAAAGCCTCACTGTTTTGCCATTCCCAATTACACACCCAGGGGGAGATCTCATGGGGGAATCCTCCTGGATCCTATCCTGGGGAAAGAAAGGAAAAAGAAGAAAGAGAAGAAGGAAGAAAGGAAGGAAGGGAGGGAGAGAGAGAGGGAGGGAGGGAGGAAGTAAGGAAGGAAGTGAGGGAGGGAGGGAGGAAAGAAAGAAAAAAGAAAGAGAGAGAGACAAAGAAAGAAAGAAAGAGAGAGAGAAAGAAGGAAGGAAAAAAAGAAAGAAAGAAAGAAAAAAGGAAAGAAAGAAAGAAAGAACCAAAAGGGCCCATCGTGGATTCACCCAGGAGTCAAACCCCAGGAACTGGTCAAGTCTTCAGCTTCCACCTTTTTGCTGAGAAACCGGTGAGAAACTCAGCAGGATGGACATCTGATAATGAATTTCCTCACTTCTGTCAAGTTCCTAAACTACAGAATTTAGTTATAGACATTGCCTATTAACTGTGGCAGTATACATAGTTACTCATGGATTTGTGTGTAAAAGACACTATGGAAGCAGCAGAAATAATTTGCTCTGTGTACTTTGGTTCTTGGGAATCAGGAAGAATGGCCTGCTCTACACACATGATAACAACACAAGAAACAAGAAGGAATTCTTGCTGACCCTGGCTTAACAGGAACTGCTTCCACATGTGGGAGATATTTTAAACAAATAATCACTCATAAATAAATGCAATCTAGAAGAATAACGCTTATTTGACACAAGGACACAAGGTAATTATAGAGTTTACTCAGAAAGAAAGTAAGATCATATATGGCAATTTTCTGAAGTAGATATACTGCAAATCAATTGGACTTTTTGTGATTAAAAAGTATAAAAAGGTGGCAAAGTCACAGCACATTCTTTATTCTCATGGTATGTTACATTTCCAAGTGTTTGGGAACATTTTACTCACTCACATCTGGAAATAATGCTGGCAGTCCTCTCTGGGAGCATCCCGCAAAACTAACACCTTATTTCAGTGACTGTTACCTGGTCCTGGCCTGGGAGCTTCTCAAAAGATGTCTTCCAGGGGCAGCATATCTCAGTAAAGAGATTTAAATCATTGCCTCCTCGGAAGGGAAGGGAGCCCATTAATCTGGAGATGGAGGGCTAAGGTAAGACATAATAACTACTTTCAAATAGTTGAGGTATGTGATTACATATAAGAAAGAGTGGAACTGTTCTGTGTAACTCAAGGGTGAACTAGAACCCCAAATGGTGGCTCACGCCAGTAATCCCAGTGCTTCAAAGGAGGAGGTAGGAAGATCTTGAGTTCATGACCAGCGTGGGCTATATAGCAAGACCCTGTTTCAAACAAATAAACAAACAAAACAACAACAACAAAAAAGGGCAAGCTATAACCTATGACCAAAGTTTTCAAGATCTAGATTCCAATGCAACCCATAAAAAACTTTCTAGCAATCATGGTAGTACCTTAGTGGAATAGGTAGCTCCTTGAAAGGTATTCATACTATGACTGCTTGGTTGAGCACGAGGGAGGCTTCACAGTGCTGCTCAAAACATGGCATGAAATGGTGCAGCTGCACGTTTTCCCTACTCCCTAGAGATTTATTTATTTACTTATTTGCAGTGCTGTGAATCGAACCCAGGGTCTCACACATGCTAGGCAAGTGCTCTACTGCTGAATGCTGAGTACCACCCCCCACCAAGATTTAAATTTTAATAAAATTTTTATTGTAGTTTTACTTCTAAAGTCATTTTTCCTATAAATGAAAACCATATTATAATTACCAAGAAATTCCATTCCTGTATTTAGAATACTTACATATTTATATACCAAATATTTTATGTGTCTATTTGATATAAGAAGAGATATAGGGATAGCAATCTTTCCCAGATTTTTAAAATTATGATAAGAATACAACATGAGCCAGGCGCCGATGGCTTACGCCTGTAATCCTAGCTACTCAGGAGGCAGCGATCAGGAGGATCATGGTTTGAAGCCAGTCTGGGCAAAAAGTTCATGAGACTCTATCTCGAAAAAACCCTTCACAAAAAAAGGGCTGGTGAAGTGACTCAAGGTGTAGGCCCTGAGTTCAAGTCTCGGTACCACACATACACACAAAAAACACAACATGAGGCCTATCTTCTTAATAAATACTGAAGTGCACAATAACTATAGGCTCAGATCCCCAAAACCTAATCATCTTTCATGACCGAAACTTTATACCACTGAATATCAATTCATTCTCCCTCCCCACAGCCCAGAAACCACCATTCTACTGTCTGCTGCTATGTATTTATTTTATATATACACCTCATAAAAACGAGATCATATGCAGCATTTGTTCTTCTGTGACTGTCTTTTTTCATTTATCACAATGTCCTCAAAGTTCACTCATGCTGTCATATGTGACAGGATATCCTTCTTTTAAAGGTCAAATCGTATCTCATTGCATGTATATGTTTTCTTTATCCATTCATCCATTAGTAGACATTTACTCTGCTTCCTCATCTTGGCTGTTGTGAATAATGTTACAATGAGTCAGAATACAAATATCCCTGACATCCTGATTTCCATATGTTCTTTGATGTTAATCCCGAAGAGAAGGAGCTTGTAAATCTACCCACTGTTTCATCAATGAAGTCTTACTATAGAAAGAAAATCTCAGTGGAACTAAGAGTACAAGAATGAGATATTCTTGAGAACACTGAGCATTACCACAATGGAAGTAACTTATCCATTAAGTAGCTAATGAGACCAAGGCGTTTCACAATAATGAAATATTCATGCTACAAGATATATAGATGTGGAAAATCCCTTTTAACATTAAAATCTATAAGTTTCCTGATTGGGGATCTAAACCTTCTCATCACAATAACATAAAGTTACCCCACTCCATCTACACACACACAGAAAAGAATCACTGCTACTTAGATCACTGCTATTCCCTGGAACTTAGTATAAGGAATCTATTTTTGTGTGTGTGTATGGTATTGGGGTTTAAACTCAGGGCTCTGTGCTTGCTAGGCAGGTGCTCTACCACTGGAACCACTCCTCCAGTCTGTGTAAGGAATTTATTAATTGAATCTACAGTAGGCAGAGCCTCTAACTGAAGTAACTTAAACGCACATATCATGTATGTACATATGCTACTATTTGAGAATATAAAGATTCCATTATAATTGTCAAATAAGAATTAAATTTAAAGTGCTATGGAACTAAGTCTTCATTGCTATGTATTTTCCCAAGGAGTATTTACTAAAAGTGCCATTTCTGTTATGTGGAGATCCAAAACATTAGCACATAGTGAACTCCATGCTTTGCGTTTACCCAACCATCAGCTCTGGCAGTGAAAGTGAACCAGGCCCACAGTGCCCAAACACCCTGTTTGCTGGGGTTAGTGTCTCAGGTTATGGGATTTTCAGCACTGCAGTTAACACAGTCCTAAGCAAAGACATGCCATATGTTCCAGCTTCAGACTTGGAATCCCAGCTCTAGATGTCTAGGCCTGAAACCACTGCATTTCTCATCTCTTCTCTTTTGTTTTCAAGGTGAAAGAGCCATGTAATCACACCAACCATCTGACCAAGCCTGATTCAAGAACCTTCTGGACTAATGATGATTCAGGTATCATTAGAAAATCACACTCTGTCCCTGAGTTGTACAGGGGGCATCTTGTACTGCTTGCTTACATGTATGTAGCCTGACGCTTGAACACACTTCTCAATTGTTACCATCAATGTCCTTTCATTAGGTTTCCTTTTTCAATATCTAAAGTATGTATTACACCAGCTGCAGCTTTATGGACTGTGAAATAGATTCAAGTGCTATAGGAACAGAGGGATGAGTCTGTTTCCTGGAGTGGAGGAAAGAGGAGTAGAATAAAGTGGGCAAGTACATTAGTTCAAGTTTCTCTTCCAGAATGAAAAATAGATTAAAATAACCTAAAGTGAATCACTCTTCAGAATCCTTATGGGAGGGCAAGTGAATTCCACTGTGAGATTTGGGGGCATAAATCTAACTAGAATCAGAGGGATGCTATTTTATGATATCTGAGAATATGCTTCTGGTTATGTAATTAAAAATTAGACAGAGAGTAGGGGATGTTCTTATGGGAAAGAGATCTTTTCATCCTTTTTCACAATCACATCTGAGCCACAAGGCCTAATTGCATGAAGTAGACACCAGAAATGAAAAGGGGAAGTAAAGCAAACGGAGCTAAAACAATTAAGACAGTGATAATAGAGCTTTCACCTTTTCTAATTAAATAGGGTCTAATGAAATAGAAAGCTTGTGCTGATACCTAATTTTTGTATTATGGCTCACACTATTATGAAGTGTGTTCACAGAAACCTAATTTAGTGTTTGCAGCAACCCTGAGAAACAGGAGAGACAGTCTATCCTATGTTCAAAATGAGATAACATTTCCAAAACTCTCAGCCAGAAAATAACAAGGCTGGGAGCAGGACAGACAGCTGAGGGCTCTGTTCTACAGCCCACTCCCTAGGAAGAAGCAGTTCTCCTGTGAGAAGTGTCTTGGGCTTCATCTGTGCATTAATTTTTTTCTTCATAAAACAGTGTCAGATACTATGTTAGCAGAAGCAGGTGGACTTGAGGAGGGAAATAAAAACTCTCTGATGATTTTTTTTTTCAAAGATCAGTCTCTTGGTCTAAACTTGTTATGAATTTTGTCTGTCTCTTGAAAAAAGATGAAGAAACATGAAAGTGAATTGGCCTATTTATGCCATCATTCAATCAATTAGTAATATGACACCACAATAAACAAGCCATATGCTGGCTAATTAGCATTATTATGCTATTAAGATCTACAGCACAAGTGTTGTGAAGAAACAAAGTAGAATGAAGCATTATAATAAAGACCTAAATGATTCCTGGTGTTATGTAAAGCGATTAGAATGGAAAGGTAATGCATACAGGATAGGTCCAGAGGACCTTGGACAATCAGGAGCAAGAGAAATTATGTTACAAGAAAAAATAATGCAAAACATGTAGAGAAATAAGAAGGGAGATGCTTCACATCTGCTCACTTTTTAAAACTGTTTTTAATGAATTTTGAGTCACTAATGTAGTTACAAAAATATGTCCTTCATGCCACAACTCATCTAATGAAGATCCTCCCTGATAACTAACTCATAGATTAGGATACATGTCAAGAGTGATTTTATCTTTTGATCTAGTTAGTCGATCAATTACTAAAATCAGGATATTAAAATCTCTACCTATGGTTGTGAAATTGTCTTGTGCTTCTTTAAGACTGTCCAGTTTTGCTACAATTGTATTTTGAAAATTTGTTATTAGGCACATACTCTGTTATTATTGCTATGACTTCCTGATGAGTGGTCATCTGATCATTAGGAGATGTCCTTTACTCTTTGAAGAGACTTTGCTTAAAGTCTTTTTATCTGATATTAATATAGCCAGACCAATCTTACTATACTTTCTCTTCATGTGGTATATCTTTTCTATCCATTTACTTTCATACTGTGTCTTATAAAGTGCTTCTTGAGGTTAGGCTCCTTTTAAACCCCATCTGACAATCTCTAGTATTTTTTCAAAGAAATGTTTAAACCTCTAACATTGATGTAATTGTTTACACAGTTAGATTTAAACCTATTGTTTTACTGTTTGTTTCTACTTCTCTTCTTTTTTTGCTTGCTTTTCTTTTCTGACTTCTCAAGGATTATTTGAATAATATTTAGAATTTAATGTTAACTAGCCTGGCACCAGTGGTTTACAACTGTAATCCTACTGATTCAGGAGGCAGAGAGCAGGAAGATCATGATTTGAAGCCAGCCTGGACAAATAGCTCTGGAGACCTTATCTCAAAAATACCCGACACAAAAAGGGCTAGAGGAATGGCTCAAGTGGTAGAGTGCCTACCTAACAAGTGTAAGGCCCTGAATACAACACCCCCAGTACTGCCAAATAAAAAAAGAGGGAGAATTTAATATTAACTTTCCTATGGACTTTCTAGCTATACTTCATTGCATTACGTATTGTGGTGGCTCTAGAGATTACAAAAAATAATCTTAAATTTTCACAGACCATTGCAAAAATCTTGAAACATTATAGGTCCCTTTACCTCACTCCCACCTTCCTCCTTCATATTATAGTATCATGTATATTACTTCCACCTATGAAATAAAGCCTCCAGTGCATTGTGTTTGAAAGAAAATAAGAGGAAAACCGTCTTTTGTAGTTACTGTTTCTGATGGTCATCCTTCCTTCCTGAAGATCCAAGTTTCTCTCTCATATTATTTCCTTTACCCTAAAACATTGCCTTTGGCATTTCTTATAATGCAGTTCTTCTGGTAAGAAAGCATTTTAGTTTTCTTTATATTCACGATATTTTTTTTTATGAAAGTAAATGTCTTCCTTTCATTCTGGAAGGATTTTTTTACTAGCTATAGAATTCTGTGTGTGACTTCTTTCATGACCTTGAGGAGGTTAGTCCATATGTCTTGGCCTTTAGAGATTCTAGAAAATCTTTTTCTAATGAGAAGTCAACAAGGTTTTAATCATTGCTATCCAGAATGTAATGTGTTGTCTTTCACCACTTGCTTGATTTTTTTCTAATCTTTAGTTTTTTTTGTCAATTTGACTACCATGTGCCTAAAGCAGAATCCATAGTCTTTAAGATGTAGACCTCTAGATTCAGGAAGTTAAATAGTCTACTAGTAATTTTCTCACAATGCAAATCTGAAGTGTGCATTCTTTTCCCCCTGTGGGTTCCAGACTGAGTATACCCTTTCTTTGGCATATCAACACCGTAATGAAACTTTCTCTCATGCCTTCACGTCTGCTAAATACAAATACAAGCTACGGCAACTCTACAGCCACCTTTCTGCAACACACAAACCTGTGATCCCACAAATGGATTCTGTCCAAGGACAGTGTTGTAGTCATTGTCCCAGAATAAGTTTTATTATTGTAACTTTTACTAATTCATGAAATGATTTTAGTAAGTTGATGCTGTCATTTTTCTATGGAAAATATTTCCAGTGATGATAATATTTCCATTCAAAATCAGTTTCATCAAAGTATTTTATTAACCTAATTGAAGGTATAATCTCTTCATATTCAGTTTAAATACAATTGAATGTTAGGGGAAACTAGTCCACATTGCTTAATAGAAATAGAAGTTAATAGAGAGATTATTTTGTTAAGAACTAAGGAAATTCTAAGGATTAGCTTGCTCTGAAATCTGGTGGGATTGCCTAAATTTTCACATCCAGTGTCCTTTCAAGCGAGGGTAAGACTGATGTGCTCAGTTGCCATATGCAAATATTGACAGAGAGTTGGAAACTATGTCATTTTTATGAAGTATTTCTTTTTTCACAATTACAATTTAAAAGGGGTCTACACTTATCATGAGCCAAGCAAGAAAAAGAAAAAGGAAAATAGAGAAAGGAAGAAAGGAAGAAGCTTAGAAGGCTTAGCCACCTTCTAAGCTCACCACTCACTTTGTTCTTGGGTTTAGAATCTCTCTCACATTTCCAGCATTTTTCCGACAATAAGCAAACAGGCCGCACAAGTTCTGCTCTTTCTTGTTATCTTTGTTTTTAGACTTTGAAACCTGAGTTTGTTTTTCAATTGCTGGTCCCGCAGTGACCTATGATTTTCAAGGTAAGATGAGTTTCCCCATACTTTCAAAATGTGTGTTTTCCCCCAGTACCATATTACTGACAACACAGATAATGTTCTTTGCTTAGAGGAAGTCAGATAATGAAGTGGTTAAACAAAAAGATTTATTTCATGATTTTAGCTAGCTACTTGTTTTGCCAGGTAGGAAAACATAATTTCTTGATGTTCTTCCTTGGCTTTTACTTGAAGTCTCCTTATAATAAGACACTACCCTTGGGGTTTTCAAAATGTCTAGATTTTGTTCAAACAAAAATTAAACAGCAAGAATCAAAATTGTGAAATTTATTCCAGAGGAGAAAAATGAATGTTCCAGTATGTTTCAGGATTATGTGTCATTTTCTTGTATTTTCTAATGATTGATTATATTTTAAAATTTGTCCTAAATTTCTGGGAACTTAGAAATCACTATAAAGTGGCATATTTATGTTTATTCAAGAGAATAATTTATGTACCAAGTATAGAAATGAAATGATTCATAATTTGAAAACAGATGGACTACAGAAACATTTCAGTATTTCACAGAATATATGAAATTAGATCATTGAATTAATACAAGTAGAGGGAGAATTTCATTAAATAAAATTTTTAAGTAAAAAAATTTTAAGACTTTTTTTAAAAAGGAAAACATTTTCATGTTTATATCTACAAAATAGTTGCTCCTCAAAAGTATGGCATTACCAAGCAAAAGAGGAACTATGATAAATAGTAAACATGACCTGCTTATAAGGAAAATTTCTATCTAATGCAATTTGGCCAGTATATCTATGATATTGCTGATAAATCATTTAGCTAAAAAAAAATGTGGATGCATAAGAATCCTTTAAGTAAACTGACCTCGTTTACTCAGGTCATAAGTAAAAAAGCAGTGGCTAGCTCAACTATATTATATCTTCTGTACAGTGAAAAATTCCAAAGTCACACAATGCCATCAGTGGGAGAAGAAACGAAGCCAGGTACTGGAA